GAGTATTCAGTTAAATCTGGTATCTCCACTCACAATTTTATTTTCTAAATATTCACAACACCATGTTACAGGAGAGGGAGAAATGTCTGGCAAAGGCTCGGACTAGGGCACATGGTGACAATGTAATGCAGCAGGCAACTTTGATTTATATGTGTAATTACACTGAAGTCAAAGTTGATGTTGCTTGAAAGCAGAGCTCAAAAACTATTTTAAAAGGTGACACCTATTATAAGTCACTTCTTCAGAGTCCTTAACCACGTATGTAACTGCAACTATGATCTGACTTCGATGTTTTTTTGACCTGTTCCTTATCCGCACAGAGACACTCAGGAAATTTTATCCGAATTAATTTAAGGTGTGACTTAACTTTACTTTTTACTTTACATTAATGCAGCTTTAGCATGTGAAAATGAAGAAAAGGAAGCATCTTCTTGCAAAGGAATTATGTCCTCAACACGGGCAGCTTGGAAATAGGCTCTCAGTGGCCATGTGGGCACACACCTTGTAGAAGAATAATCTCAGCCATAGGAATCCCAGCTGGCCTTTAAAAAAGCTCATCATGCAACAGTGTTAATGCAGGTGACAGCAGTATTGGCTGAAGGCAGTGAAAGGTCTCAGCACCTTTTCTGAATCTATCTGCCTGAGATGGAAAATGTTAGCAAGAACACTTAAAATTTCCACTACTGAAAAACAAAAAAAGTCATGCCAATCTGTAGTCCTTGATCGCATGGAAGCCCTGATACTGATCTTTTGTACCTTGTGAGTCAAGACAGCCGTTGGAAGGACTTGTTTTCCGACTTGGTGTGGGGAGGAAATGCAAGATTAATTTATTTTGTTAAAAATAAGTTGCTCATCCTCAATGTGTCCTGACTGAATGAGATCCCATGTTAGACTGTGCTGAAAATGTGTTTTTCTTCTGAGAAAAGCTTACAACTGAAAACRAGGCTCCATAGATTTTTTTTTCTTTTTTTTTTTTTTGTGCTGCACAGTTGTTGCCCGTAGGCTTTAGATGGAGCAGTTCTGTGGAAATCAATCGTGGTAAAGCAATAGCAGCTGTAATTTTGCCAGCAAGCAGAAACTACTGCAGAGGTACCCACACTACAGCAATGCTGCTTGGCCATTTAAAAGCAAATTGAAGCCCAAAAATAACCTGAATAAAGTTAGAGAAACACAAATTGAAACACAATTGTTATTTCTCATGTTTTCAGACCAGAAAATGTAAATACCTGTTCCAGAAAAATGTGAATTCTCCCTCACCTGGTCCTCAGCTGCATATATGACCCGTGAATAAGCAACATAGACCCTTCACTAGTGATAGAGTTTATTATTTAAAAATTTATAATGAAGTGGGGATTGCTGGCTCACATAAGTTCTCCATAGGTTGCCATCTGACTTCTCCAGCCAACAGGGCATGGTAAAGTGATCGCATCTGCTTTTATGAATAAAGCAAAACTGGACCTGGTGAGCACCTTGATGACCAAAGGACCATGGCAAGGACTTAGTGGATAGCTCCTAAATCTATAAAGAGGAATATACAGACCTCCTTAAAAATTTAAATCACTATCAGAAAGGCTTTAACAAGGTGAAAATACTTGTTCCAGTAAATATATATATACATATATATATATATACACATTTGTTTCTCAAGCTTATTTTAGGAAAGCTTGAGGATGAAATATTCCAAGTAAGTTTAGTGGTGTATTATGCTATTCATTTACATCAATTTCTTAAAGAGATAATTCAATAAAATGCTTCAGCCTTTAGGAACCCTTTTCCTGTATCACATCTCTTTTTGAACCGTCAACCACTTGAAGGAACAGCCCTTGATTCTTTCCTGATTGTATGCGAGATGAGGCAATTTTTTCCCTGGGGAATAACATTAGCTAAATTAGGAACACTGTAATTTAAAGGTGATTAAGTACCTTTTGTGATTGTTGCTCTATGACTTCAATCTGATAAGACTAAGTGCATGTGTAATCTAGTCTGTTATGGGGCTGCTCACGTTTATAAGAAGGCTTAAATCTTTGTAAGGTCAGGCCCTAATTTAAGCACCCCAGTTAACCATTTTCTTAGCACATTGACAAAGTATATATTTGGCTTGACTGCTTGAACTTTGACTTGACTTTGCTCTACTGATGAAAATTCACACTTGTGCCTGGTGCGAGAATCCTTAAAATACTTTTAAAATGTGAGGATTTTTGTTTTGCAGATAAAGTGAAGCACAGGGATGCGAATGGGTGCCTTCCTGATGTAAGGCAAGGCTGCTGGCAGAGCTGGGAGTGGGCTGAGAACCCTCAGACCTCCTGAATTCGTGTCCAGCTTCACTCTGACCATCTTCCATGCTTTGATACGCAGTGTGTGAGGACTAGCAAGATCAACCCAGGCCAGGCAAAGCGACCGCATCATTGCTCAGGTTTCCTATTCATCTCCAGAAAATCACTTTTATTCCCAGCCATGAGCCTTGTTGGGGTTTCAGTGTCAGCAGACGGCCAAACGTGCTGAAGGATGTCAGAATTTGGGCTCCTACGGCGCTGTTGACAAATTTTGAGGTTGACATCTGTTGAGGGTTGCCGAATAAGACACACTCAGGCACCCAACTGTCATGAAGTGGTATTGGCATTTGTCGTGCAACAGGATATTTTACAGAATGTCATCACTTGGTAATGAAACATTCCCCTGTAATGATGCCTCACGAGCACAGAAATAGCTTTTGACCAGAAAGGTTTTGCAAATAATGCTTGCAGGAAGTGATTTGCTATCCATCAGGCGAGTAGATCCCAGAAATAATGTGACAGATGGCAACCCGAGCAAAATCACCAAACTCCTTTTCACTTGCACTTTAAACAAGCATTTGGACTCCGGTCTTTGAGGAAAAATGCTAATTCTAACTCTACAGCTGGCTGAAGTTGAATTGCCATTCTGCAGAAAATTCTAGAACTGAAAGTCCCTGACAAGCAGAATAAAATTAAAAGTCTGAAATTTTCTTCTAAAACAGGAAGTAAAAGTTTTCAGCCACCAAAATGCTGTTTTGRTGGCCTTAAATTACATGTTCTTGATTATTTTATGTCTATTCATCCTGTGAGCAAGCAAAAATTTTTAAATATAAAAACAACATGAACAATATTTTAAGTGATATATATGAGGAAATTTTAGCAAAATAGTCTTTGAAATAAAAAAAAAGATTGAAATGAAATGAAAATGAAAAATAAAACTTTTCTGTTTGCAGTGATTCATTTTGATTCTTTGCCCTCTGAATGAAAAATCTGTCAAAATCATCATGTTTCAGTTTTTAACAAACTGGAACTTTCCAACAGAAGGAACATCCCYCTTGAACATTTTTGGTAAGGTCTTTCTAGGCGCTAGCTATGTGAAGTCTGTGCTTCATTTACAGTTGCAAGTTACTCTGTTTTGCAAGATTAAAAAAACAGACATTCTCTTACCCTGTGTGCCTAATTCTTGGGTTATAATTTTTTGAGGTTTGAAAATCATCATTCTATGAAGATTTGTTGCTTAGTACTTAGCAGACACTTGCTTGGAAACTTAAAGCATTAAAACAGTTCTTAAAAACTGACTGAAATGTTTCTCTTGGTAACCCTTTATTTATAARAATAGATCCGCTTCCATCCTGTCACATATGGGTCACGTGCTTCTTAATTTTGATTACTAGAAGCTTTTCACATTATAAATTGGGATACCCCCAAAAAAGAGCTTTTGCAAAAGTACTAATTTGTGTTAAAACAGGGACCAYCCCAGAAATGGGGTGAGTTAAGAGCACAAAGTAGGTCACAAACTTTCATGGCCAGATTGTGGCCTACAACTCTGTCTCGGGGGACACTTTTTATGCTAGTTACGCAAAACCACCTCCAGCTGTAGGTTTGTGTATGACGAGCAGGTGTAGTTATTAGAAGCCACTGTGGATTTGCCGGAATTTTCTTCAGGAAAGGGGTCAAAATAAGCCATAAAATGAATCGCTCAGACGCTGGAGATGTGCACATTGAGCCTCAGTGCTATGAGACGCCTCACAAACCGCAGTGCATTCAGTCTACTCTTCTATTAAGCACATTACTGCATACATAACTTTGGTCCTAACATATACATACATATGCGTGTGCATATATATATAAAATGAATTTCTACCCCAGTGCTTTGTAGAACTGGTGTTTCAGCCTACAGAATTTTAAATCTGAATTAAAGATAGATGTTATTATATATAATTCATGATAGCAATCTTAAATAGAGTCTGACTTTAGTAGGACAAAGAGCCCCATTTARTCCACGATTAAAGTGGGTGTCAGTTATGCTCTGTTTGTCACTCTGCTAGGGTTGTATTTTAAGTAGCTTTTAACTTTGCTGGGTGCTTTCGCTTGAGCTGTTCTAATCCCCCAGCTCGGGGCACACGGGTCGCTTGACATTTTTCAGTTGAAACGCTCCAGTTTGGCGCTCTTGCAAGGCGAGCAGGAGCCCGGCCTTGGCGCAGCGCGCGCCCGCCGGCCCCGGGACTCGAACCCGCAGTCCCCGCCGCTCCCGCGGCCGCCGCCCATCACTGCGCGGGGGCCAATCAGCAGCGGCGGCGCGGCGGCCGCCCCGCCCCTGCTCCGCGGGCGGTGACGCAGCGAGGCGGCGCGTAGCGCGCGCGCGC